TTTTTCAGCACTCATTACATGATTTCCTAATAATAAAATTGGAACCACCCTATTTTGTCTCTTCCCCATGATTCCGTACGAAAATCCTGGTTATTTCTTCCATTATTCCCATTTCGAATTTTCGACTGTTCGTAGGGCTTTGAAATATTACTCTTACAATAATCAGTACAAATATTTTTGCACTCATTTCGTTTTAAATTGGATTTTCTACCCACGTTTTTTACTCGTTTCCTTGTAGTAATACGGGTGGGAATGGGTTGTTGCTGATTATTATTATAATTGGACTGGTTTGCGTTATTATTCTGATAAAAGCATTGTCGTATATATCCATCTTGCTTATCATTTAATTGGCTATGTGTGCTATCGGAGGACTTTGTCTGGGTTAATGAATATAGTGTGTTGCCATTACAATCCTTTCTCTTATTTGCGTAACGAGCTTTATTCGAGATATTTGAAATATGTAATTGGATTTGTGCTGGGCTCTCAGAAACGGAATTATTCTCGCCCACACTAATAGTGTTCAATTTCGCATCATTTAAACATTGCTCTTGGGTTGCAATTTGCGATGTGATCTCATTTGGCTTTACAAGCTGAGTAGGAGCATCAAGGCCGGGATTATGACCATCATTACTCAAAACTATAGAAATTTCTCTCTCAGAACTTTTATTCGACTCCATTGAGGCGTTTAAATTTGCATTTTCCTCTTGACTGGATTCTACATTAGCTACCATAGAATTACCGCTTTCGTTTTCCTCATTACCGGTATCATAATTTGACGCATTACCAGATTGATAATTATACTCGAGTGCAATGTCCTGTGAAGAACACGCTTGAGAGGATAATTCATTAATTACTGCATCGTGATTAGTAATTTCTATAGAAGTCTTTTGCTGCTCCTTTTGCATAATGAACAATTGATCACGAAAGTGATTAATCTCTTTATTTATTTTACGAATCTCGTTTTGATTTGCCGAAATGCTGTTCGAAAATCTAGATTCGATTATTACAACATCTAACTTAACGCCCTCAAGGTCAGCAGAAAGATCGCAATACCCAGAGTTAGTGTCTTTTTTGTTTATCAAACTTTGCCCTGACTTTGGAAGTGGATCAGTAGTTACCGATTTATTCAGTAGGTTGTAAATTTTATGCGTTAGATCGAATAAGCAATTCAGTCTCTCAGCAAATTCAGACATTTCTGCCCTCAAATTTCCGCAGTTTTTACATTGAGGGCTTTCATGAATAGTCTGAGAAGCACAGTCTTTAACAGCTGTTTTTAGTAATTCGGGAGCGCTCGCATTATTGTTGGTACCTTGCGGCTCCGCTGTGTTCACTGATAAACTGTCTAACATAGCATCTGTTTGTCTTACTATATGATCTGTATCTAAAACTGTTACCAGTATTTGTTTGAATAGCTCACCATCCTTTCCATGAAGCAATATCGAGTCCTGCTTTCCCGGGTACCAGGTCAAAGTAAAATCAAACGTTGAACTTTTAAACTGCTTAGCATTTCCACCAGGTGATTTCCAAATGCCGGTCAAACCAATAACATTTTCGACATAATTCTTTAATGAATTAAGGTCACCGGTCCACTTTATACGATTACCAGTATAAGTTAAGTTAGCTTCATCATTTAATAGCTTTATTGCATTCATATCGACGTTCTCTGGTCTGAAATTTGTATTATTGAACGAGTTAAAAAATCCATGACCTTCCGCCATTTTGATTTTGATTTTGGTATATCTACAGTTGTATCAACAGACATACTCAACTGCTCATTTGATTCTTGGTCATGTGAACATGTGAACTTTTTTGAAAAACTGCTCGTAGTATTTCCAGTATTCTTGCTCGTTCATCAACTGTTTCAGTTGCTCGGTCTTGCTTCCTCTTTTGTAGCCTGTCAGTTCGTTCTTCTTCAGTCTCATTTTTCATTTTATCTAAATTATACACTCTCTTATACTCTTTTTGCTTACCTTTAACTTCTGGAGTCCTTTATTTCCACGCTTCTCTTCGTTTTGCCAAGCGAGTTTCTGTTTCCTCGGCAGTTTCTCCAGCCTGTTTCTGTTGCCTATAGACTCTATTATACTCATAATGTTTACGTACCTTTCGCTTCGGCAGTCTTTTTTCCCCATGCTTCTCTTCGTTTTTCCAAGCGAGTTTCTGTTTCCTCAGCAGTTACTCCAGCCTGTTTCTGTTGCCTATAGACTCTATTATACTCATAGTGTTTACCTTTCGCTTCGGCAGTCTTTTTTCCCCATGCTTCTCTTCGTTTTGCCAAGCGAGTTTCTCTTTCCTCGGGACTTCAGCTTCTTTCTGTTGCCTATAACAGACTCTCTTATATTCCTTTTGCTTACCTTTTGCCTCGGCAGTCTTTTTTTCCATGCATCTCTGCGCTTTCCCAGGCGAGTTTCTCGGCTTTCCTGAGCAGTCTCCTCCAGCAAACGTTGTCGTCTTTGCTCCCTTCTTTTCGCTAAACGTTCGGCTTTCTTGTTAATTTCTGGACGCGATTAACGACATTTTTATACAACCGGCCCCAGGTGCCTATACGTGCCCTGAAGGACCACCATTTTTAAATATTTTTAATAATAATAATAAATAAAAATAAGTTGCAAAAACTATTACTGATTAGTCTGCAAAGAAGGCAATTACACTTAGTTTAATTTCCAGGCCCACCCAAATTAAACACCTTCTTTGTAGGCTAATTACTAATCAGCTCCCCATCCTATAGCTGTTATCAAAAGCAGCGTTATTTAGTTCAAACATACTTTCTGTACCGATAGTCCTGCAATATCATATTAGCTAACTCTACATAATGCCGCAAATATATAGATAATACTAATCTATTATCAACTATTTATAATCTTATAAGATTGCTCGATTGCTTCCTGCTCGATATAATCTTATTACCTGCTCGAGCAAGCTGCAGCAAGTGTAGGCTCCACTGATTTTACAAAACTTCAACGTCTTTTAACGCTACAAACACAACGTGCTTTGTGTATTCAGCATTTATCTCACAACTGTCCGCATTTCTAAAAGCAAGGAGTAACCGCACGATGCCGTCTTACTTAACCTGAAGTTCAGGCCCTATATAACTATAGCGATTAACTCGGAAGACAGCTTGGTTACACTGACACTGTACTTTATTACCGTATATGCACGAGTACAAATAAATATTGCACAAAACTGAAATAAGATCCAGTTTCAATCCAATTGCCCAGGTACCTGAGGTAATTTTAGGCCGTTTTTACTTGAGATTTAAGCACAGAACTTTGCTTTTAACGTGGGCTTGGCTCACCGCTATAAATAGTATAATATATATTTTCTCACAAACATGAAATTCCACACTTTCGCGAGAACCTTGCACGGTTATCGCCGTCAGTCTAAATCTTGTTCACTGCAGGGACGTTATAAGATTTAAATCTATCGAGAAAATCTTATATTTACAGCAATATATTCGCGTGCATGAACAGAGCAATAACACCAATCCCGCTTATAAGCGAGCCAGATCGCGGGGTAATGAAGACATCTAGTACTTTATATGACTCCGGTTTTATCAGCTTTTAAGCTCAAAATCTCGTAACTTGCATCCGTAGTCATATTCTTTGTATTCTTCCAACGCTATAACTACCAAACTTAATTCTCAAGAATGTTTTAACTGTCAGTTTTTTCCATTGGCGTGACATCCTAATTGAGTATACCTTACTTCACACTTTTATTTGTAAATACAAAACCACTTCGATTCCAAGCATGAAACTTTTGTGGCATAGCAAGCAATAACCAGGCTTTTAGATGCTGTCATTTTTGTTTCAAACTTTTAGATACCAGGGACGTGTTATACCCACTAAACTTAGCCATTTTTGTATATTTTGCAAGGCTTCGAAAAGGGGTCGATTAAAAAAAAAATCATAATAAAATAACAATTAAACTTAGGATCGTAATAACAGTCAGATAGCAAACTTTAATAGTACCGTGAAACATGTTAGGAATATGGGGTTCATCGGTTCCAAATAAAATCGCAGCAGCGTTTTAGTATTTTTTCCATTGTAGGAACACTAAATGGGTTGATTTGGTAAAATAAAAAAAATTCGAATTTTTTCATTTGATTTGAGATTCTCGGTTTTTACAGACAGTTGCTCTTAAATCATTTTGAATCTGTAAATATAATATAGTTGAAATTTTAGAATATATTTAGTCATTATCATATATTACTTGTAATTTTTTTCTGAAAAAATTTTTTTGAAGAAAAAACATTTATAATAATAATAATAATAATAATAATAATAATAATAATGGAAACTTCGTTTATTTTATATACACCATAATAGTTGACCTGCATCTAAGAACGAAAGCGGACTTATATTCATTTATGCAATGTTCTTTCGTCAAAATCCAGAATCTGACTGGTTATGTTAGTGAATATATGCTAATGCGACCTAAAGTGACCTATAAAGCAATTTATGCAGTTTGCAGATTATTTGTTATGATATATTGATGTGGACGAAAATCAAATTATTGCTTGCCTCTGCAAATTCCATTCCCGGGCCGGTATTATAGGTGCACAGAAAGCGAGTATATAGCCGGATTATAACAAACTATAGTAAATATACGATAACTTGAAACAGTATAGTGTTTTGCCATGCACTGTTCGGTACGGCATGCCCGTTTATGCATTCAAATTCGTAATCTGTTATTACTTATTATAGGTGGGTTTCACTAATTGTTATGCATGGAGAAATACAACTTTACATGCATGTATTGAAGAGTTATATACCTACATCGGTAGCCTATCATAGTCGTATGAGCGTCACTATACATGCATAACGGTAAATTGAGTGCAAGCTTTTGCAACCAAACAGAACTGATTAATCACTTCGACACTTCGTTGTTTATTGTGCGACGTCCGCAGTAAGTTATTAGTATACTATACTAACCATGCAATATAATGGCAGTGTTATAGCCAGTAAAGCAATTATTAAATGCCGGCGATGATTTTGATGGATGAAATATTTACACTTCATTGTACACATTGCCCTATTCATGTAAAGAATATTGCGGATTTACGATATGTATGAATTCCCTTGAGACATGATTACTGATCGATCGAGGTCTGCAAAACATCAACTAATAAACTGTATACACCGGCGAAGTCATTCAGTCTTGGGGAACCCATCATTCTCTTCCAATCTTGCCACAACAAATATTTGGGTATGCGAGTATAACTACGATCGATCGAGCTATAAGTTTGAAAGACCCGCTTTAACATGATGCACAAAAGACATGCATGTATCGACATCAATTTATTCAGGATTTTATAGACCGGTTCAGTCACAACAAATAACAACCAAGTACTTTGCCTAAGCATGTATGCAAATTCAAAAGCGGCAACCAGTATAGGAGTCAGCGATTTTGCTTATGCTTACGTATAGCCTGGTTCACATATATGCCTGCGACGTGCCTGCGACGTACCGGCGACGATGCCGGTGGTAGCTTAAAACGTGAATTATGTGAATATTTGTTCGCCGATTGCCTCCAGTGCCACAGTTACATCGGCGGTAGGCCGGGAAAGTTGACTTGAGTTCAACTTTGCCGGTATTTCGGCGGCAAGTATAGAGGCATAATGATACAGTCGCAGGCATATGTGAACCAGGCTTATCGATAATGATATTAATGAGGCTATAAGTCCGCTTTCGTCCTTAGATGCAGGTCAACTTAAACTATATTTACATTGATAAACATCACTTATAAAGGTAATAGTATATCGATGTCTAGTTGAATAATGCTTGGTAATATACATTAACAAAAAATAATGCTTTTACAGTCAGTAGGCCTAACATTATATTTTCAATGTTAATCAAATTTTTAAAAGTTCTGGGCTATAAGTCCAGTGTTTGTTTCACCAACAGAACATGTAACAAGATGCGCGAGTACAAGTAACAATAATGTTCTTTTTTAGGTATTTGATGTATTATGTATTATATTTGTTCGTCAATAATGAAACATTTATTAAATGGATATTTGGTTTATTTATACAATTGCAAATCTCACTTATGTGAGGTAATTTACAACTGGCTACTTTAATGAGTTTAATCACTGACTACATATACAATAATACAAAATAATAATAATAATCTTATGCATCCAAGTGGCCAACTTTAGTTGATAAGTAAACTTTGTACGTGCAATTAAAATTTGTTAATTAAATGTACTTCCCACCTGTACTTCCAAATGAAAAGAGGCGGAAGAGTCTCCCCCTTCCCCGGGCAAATTTCATGGGGCATAGGCCATGATGCCATCAGAGTGGCGACCTTAATTCGGTACCTTGATTATTCATATTCTCAAAGAACTTTCACTCTGAATAAGAATAATCATGGATATATCTGAGAATGATTAGAAACCGTCCCACATCTCAAATAAATGAATAATTCCATTTATTATAATTATACCAAGTTTCAAATTCATCGCGACTGTTCCTGGCAACAGATTTGAGCGGTGGTAATATTCTTGGTAATATACTATATCTTATTGGATTCTTCTGAGCTCAATATGGCAAAATATTAAGTCGAGATTTCATTATTGGGCGAGACCGAAGGTCGAGCCTAATATTGAAGTCGAGACTTAAATTTTTGCCATATTGGGCGAAGATGAATCCAATAGGAGTTTTATTATATCGAACAAAACAATTCTATAACAAAAATTGTCAGTAAGCGATAAAGTAAATACAGCGAGACTAATACAGCGACAACATTACTACATAGCCTATATCGGCGGCGAATTTGCTTAAATAACTAAAAAAAAAGTTAATAAACCTGTTTTTACAAATATGTGTGCATAAATAAACTCAATTCCATGTATGTTTAAACGAAATTTGACCTAATTTTAACGAAAAAAAATAATATTACTAACTTCTAGGCAGTTGCAAACAAATAAATTTCGCGAAGACAAGTTTTCCCACGCTTTTATAATTTTAAACAAAACTGGTAGAAAGAACTGTATTAATGTCCCAAATTCATTTCATTATTCTGCCATATCGTTTGTCGTATGTTTGAAATTGACAAAACATCTGAAAAGGATTGAAAAACCATGAAAAAAGCCACAATTCGCAACTGTCCAATAGGTCCCTGTCCAATATCGTAAAATATTGGATCGGCACGTGACCCTCTCAACGATTACGTGAGTGTATAATAAAGTTCTATAGCCCACTTGCATGCATGTGCACAATCATAATTTTATACATCTTTATAGGTAGATTTGAGAAAACAACTAGATTTAACACTGCTGTATCTTAAGAGAACATAATATTAAGAAAACTATGATGGAACAAAATGCACAACCACTATAAATACACATTCAGAAAACTATACATAATATTTCTCTTCTAATTTTCCATTACAAAGTAGGTTTATACAGTAGGTTGGATTAGACATGGAAGTACAGTACTTGAAAAAGGTTAAAAGACCTTCGACATTCTAGGGTGAAAACGCGCACGTCCAAACGCTACTAATTGTACAATTGTTCTCAATCTTCTTCATTGGAAGAAAATGTATCAGATACATGAAAAGTCCTGACATTATATTTTCGTTCTTATTGTCCGTTGAATAGATTAATGTTTCAGCGCTATCTATAAATACAGTCTGATAATATTAGGAAAATGTTCGATTCTTTAATAAAATATACTTACAAAATATAATTTCATATAAGTGTACAAGATCTTTTTGTGTGGTGGCACTTCTTTTCCAGTTCCACATAGTCATGCTGTAGTTCATTATATTTATCATTTTCAGGATTCTCTGCCCGTCCCTTCTTCACGAGCTTGTTTATACGTTTCAATTCTTTTTCGTATTCTTGAAAGACATTCTTCGTTTTCTGTGAAATTTAGTAAAATAAATTGTTCTAAAGATTTATATTCGAATTTCGAGTAACGAAACTAATCTGTCGCATTGGCCAGGGATGGCATCAACAATCCCGGACGCGAAGCTGTTGGGACCCCAACGAGTGGGCAAAGCAAATTTGTTACTGGAAATGCAAAAAAAGGTCAAAGCATTAATCGAATAATTATATGAATCACGAACTAATGAATGTACCTGTAACTTATCATGCCTGTAACCATGCAGTTGTTAAGTATCTTTTCTATTTACTTTAAGTTTATTTATTGGTCGAGAGACGTGTTTCTGTAAATGTATGGAAACTCGGGAGATTTCCGGTCTCGCAGCATTTATTCTAAAACAAAATAATTTTAACACGCGTTGTAATCGAAAAAAATGCGTAACAGATACATTTTTTAGAACAAAATTAAGAAACCACGTGCACAACACAAAAAAGGAATTATCCGTTTAAATAGATGAGAATTTAATAATAATAATAATAATAACTTCTTTATTTAAACTGGTAAAAACGGATCAGCTAACAAAATATCAGCTGGTATAAACCGATGACCAGCATTAATATATAAATAGTTTACATCCATAATACTATATATTATCTAAAAAAACCCACACCACATGCAATACTAGAATAGATATAAAAAATGTTTAAAAAAAAAAAAAAATTAAATTATTTAAAAAATATTTAACAATTTATGGTCAAATTAAATTGACGAAAAAAAGCCGGACAACCAATCAAGTGAATTTTATGCTGAGGGAATGAGAATTGTAAATTAATCGATACAGAAAAGAGTGAACGTTTCTTGAGTTATATTGTATTAGAAAACATTGTTCTTGTGTTTCTTTTCAGTGATAGAAAGACTTGTGTTAGTTCGAACTCAAAATAACGTAGAAGTATGGTGTCCCATGTCCGCCAAAAATCAACTTTAGCATTTCACTATATCATATTTTGAGGTTCATATTCATTTCATTAAAATAATAACATTGTTTTTGAGAATCACCGGTTTATTGGTTGAAAACACAACTTATATTTTGAAGACCAACTTTTGATACCCAACCCCAATCCAATGTCTTTGTTATTCGTGGACTCATTGATTTCCCCCTAAAATCATCTCAGTTTGAAACGCGTGTTTATCAAATTAACAATATGGCGGAGTTGAGTCAGGTCAGAGCGACTCTTCTAAATATTGCTGACCAAATCTCGGCCTTAGGAAGCAACAAATCTTCATCAGCCAGGTAAAGTACTAAAGTACTGTAACTAAACGCTTTTTTTATATTCAGTGTTCTATTTTCCTGATCCATTTAGTGCATGCATGTAGGCTTATGTAAATTCAAGAATATGAATTATTCACATACTGTACGTGTACATGACATGTATTAACATTCAATTAAGGCTTGGTGTTGACGGCTCGTATTTAAATTTTGATGAGTTATAAATGTTACTGGTTATGAAATCTCATAACAAAATTATTAAGTAATCTACTATTTCATATCCTCCAAAAGGAGAAAATCACAACTAAAATCGCAGCAAAAATCGCCCGTGTAAACGGGCCTTAAGGTGTAAGCGGGCCTTAATGGTATACTGCAGTCTAACCTGATCAAAAGTCAAATACGAACCGCCGCAACATCAAGCCATAATCCCCGAGCTGACGGCGCGAAGCGCCGTGCGAGGGTACTAATTCCCCTCGGCTATTTACACCCGGGGAAACGAAAGCATTAGCGAAGTCTAAAGTTCATCAATTATCGCGGGCGTGGGTCACCAACGACGGGTGATCATCCTCACTGATCTCAAAAATATGGTGGACTGTCATGAATAGCGGACACAGATTGGTCCAATTTAAAGTTTGCATTATAACGACTGCATGACGACAGCGAAATAGCAAACATTTCTTGATTTGATGATTGATAAATTTCTTGCAAATATATTTCATTTTTGCTCGCATTTTTGCAAGATTTTGTAAATTTCAAACGTTTTCTCAGAAAGAAAGGGCGAAAGAATCGGCCAAAAGAAGGGAGCCGACGTTAACGAAGGTAAGTTTGTTTTAAATATTGATTTTATAATGGCTTTAAAACCCGACGGCCTTTGCGTATATGAAACAACTAAACAAGACAGCATATGTATAATTTCAGTGTATCTTTAATATTGATTCCCTTTATTATTATATTGAATTTTCTAAATAAAAAAGAAAGCAAAGTTATTTGCATGCTAGAATTTGGAATCATTTTATTGCAAACTCAAAGTTTATCGATAAAGCTATTTAATTAAAGGCAGTTTAGTTTTATAAAGAACACTTTAGGGCGTTTTGCGAAGCGTTTGTGGTTGAATTTTACCTTAAATTGAAGCTTATATTACGTATAATAACATACCTAACATATATATGTTGAGAAATTGATAATTTTGTAACTAAAAGTGTCTTTTTAGGCGATTTTTCATTTGTAAGAATATTCTTAAAAAATTATCGTGCTACCGTGGCAACTACTTTAGATACTTCATGTTCGGAAAATACAATGGTTTTGTCAGCAAGGCGAGGGTTTCTGCATGCATGTATTTTCTAGTTAAATGTTAATACATGTCATGTGTAGTATATGAATAATTCATATATATTCTTGAATTTACATAAGCCTCACAAAATGGACAAGGAAAATAGAACACTGAATATAAAAAAAACGTTTTGTTACTTTAGTACTTTACCTGATGAAGGTTTGTTGCTTCCTAATACCGACATTTGGTCAGCAACCTTTAGAAAAGTCGCCCTGACTTCACCCAACTCCGCCATTGTTTGATAAATACGCGTTTCAAACTCTGCGTTTCAAACCGAGATGATTATAGCGGGAAATCACGGCGATATGAGCGAACGAATAACAAAGACATTGGATTGCGGTTGGGTATCAAAAGTTGGTCTTCAAAATATAAGTTGTGTTTTCAACCAATAAACCGGTGATTTTCAAAAACTATGTTATTATTTTAATGAAATGAATATGATCCTCAAAATATGATATAGTGAAATGCAAAAGTTGACACCATAAAGAAGGGCCCAAAATGTGCTTAAGTGAAATTCTGCATTTAGAAGATTATTAAAAAAAATTAAAAAGTCATCAAGTTTAGATTAGGGTCAGATAAAGGTTAGATTTGGGTTAGATTAGATTAAGATTATGTTAGGGTTGGTGTTAGGGTTCAACATTTGTCGCGAATTTATTGTATTGATAATTAATTTCGGACGTGTTTAACAATTTACTCATATAGTAAATTCAAAGGTGGAGTTCATGCTGGGAAAATCTTCATGTATTTAGGGACCGATCAATACGTATAGGGGGATGGGCGGGCCGGAGTATTCACAGAAGTAGGAGCCTAAAAATGTGCGATCCACTCTCTTTTACTGCCAAAAAATCAGATGACCCACCCCCAGATTTTGGCTGGAAATAACATGACCCACCCTAGCCTGCGAGCAAGCTCTCAATGTGAAATTAGAGCCTGCACTGATGAAATACAATTTTGAATATCTGCGTCTCCAAAAGGGGCGCGAAATTCTCATTGGTCAGATGCTATAATTTATATGTTTCCGCTGAGCTCTAAATATGTCAACTGCTGAAGCACTATGCATAAATAACACATAAATTGACCAAATTGGTCTTGGCCATCTTGAATATCTTATATTTTGAAAAACAGTATAAACTGTATGGTCTAAATTTAGTTTGCATGAAAGTTGTAAACAACACCATATAAGGATAGACATTCCATATTTGGAAAAACGAACGTTGCGGGGCAGATATTCAAAATGTATTTCATCAGTGCAGGCTCTCATTTCACCTTGAGAGCCTGCTCGCCGGCAAGACCCACCCAAAACTTCAGGTATTGCTAATAACATTTTTTGTTCAAATGTTGCTTTTTATATCACAAATATAAAATACATTACATACCGTAAACCTCCAACTATAAAGCCCCTCCCCCGATTATAAGCCCCCCCCCGTGTATAAGCCCACCACATGTACTAACGCTCAACTCATTCTAAATATAAGCCCTCCCCCCCGCCGAATATAAGCCCACCCGAATATAAGCCCCCCGAATATAAGTCCCCCAATTAATATAAGCGTAGTAATCGCTGCTTATTACACGTTTATTTCCCTGTTTATGACTGACTTGTTTATGTCTGACTTGTTTATTACTAACACAAACGATCGTCCATGTATAAGCCCACCCGTATATAAGCCCCCCCCCCCCTTGTATAAGCCCATCAAAAATCGCTTACGAAAGTATATAAGCCCAGCTTATAGTCGGAGGTTTACGGTATCAAATTGCTACATTCTCAAAATATTAGATTTCTATTTAATAAAAGGAAAATACATGCATGCAGTAACCCCGCAGAAGTATAAGACCTAAAATGCGTGCTTGGTCATGTAACCGGTGACCAAATTGAAAACAAAAAGCTCATGCTAGCTGCAAAACCATAGGCGTACGAGACAGGGAGCAGGGGGGGGGACTGCCTTGCCCCCATTTTTTGGAAAAACATGGAAATTCGAGTAAGTGTTAGAAAAATCAAGAAAATTCGGGCAGATTTATCAGAAAATAGGTTAAATTCAGGTGATTTCGTTACAATCCTCCATAAAATTTCGGGCAAACTTTCAACTCACCCAATGGAAAGCATCAGCCCCGTACGCCTATGTTCAAAACCGTGCGCAATATTCAAAATTCACCTTCCACCCACAAATTTAGATCATTTAGTCAACGTACAGCGTATTATCAAAGAGGTACGTCCAACTATTGCAGGCAAAGCAATCGTAATGACTTCGGAAAGCAGCATTAAACCACCAGATTGCAATGTGAATTGAATAGGCCAATTCTGAATTACAGTTGCATAGCTTTAATCGCCTGGGAACGGAGATTTGTTAAAATTTGTAATGTTTCTATAGAAAACATAGCATGAAGCCTTGACTTGGCGTCTTCTGTTCTCCAAAGCGACGACATGCGGAAATGACATATTACGAATGGAAATGATTAATTACAATTAGCCTTTCTCACGCCGCCATTTTTGGATGGCATTTCAGCCGAAGTCTGCGAGATAAGTCCACATAACAGCGACTTTTTATAATTTTTTTGACGAATGATGGCAAATTTGCTTTGTAAATGGTTAGTTTATTTTTAAAAAAATGCTTTTCACATTGTTTTAGTTGTCTGCATTGGTTAACGAGAATTAGATGCCACCCATAGACGGGTCAGAATACAAAACAAAAGCACTTTACTCCAAAAAAATAATACAAAAGGTCTCTCAACTTTATTTAATACTTCAAGGCATGTACAATAATATAAAAAAATCTAGCAAAATCGGGTTATTTTTGTATGCCTAACATACAGTGTTGTAACGAGTCACCTATAGGTCAAGTCACGAGTCGAGTCGAGTCACTCAAAGGTCGAGTCACGAGTCGAGTCGAGTCATTTCAGTTTCTGATCGAGTCGAGTCAGTGGCTTCACTCGAGTAGAGTCGAGTCAGCAGTTTCACTCGAGTCAAGTCGAGTCATTGGTTTAAGTCGAGTCGAGTCAATAGCTAGACTTAACTTGAATCAGGGAATTTGATCAAGTCCACCCACATCCTTGTCCCCAGGGCCTCTCGGCCGCGCGCGTCCTCCCTAGGCCCTGGAACATACAACCTCGTACCCAGGGCTTCTGCGTTTATTGCTCTCAGAAGCCCTGGGATAATCCAAACCGGAACACCATAGAACATTGGTGCCCCCGGAAGCGGAAGTAAACAGTAGCTCCAGCTAAAAACGCTGACTGGGCATATTTTTACGCAAGGAGTGAGAATGCATTATTTGTTGCAATTTATGATAGATTTTGGACTTGTAAAGACGTCTTAAACTGCTTCTCGCGTGGCTTTTGGAATTTAAAATCAGGAATGATCAATTTAGAGATACAATTACGCGTAAAATAAGCCCTTTGGCGAGCAAAAGAACATCTTATATCGGGACAAAAGCATACCTTGTCAGCGATATACAGGGGCTATTCAATAATTAAAGTATAAATATTTATACTCGAGTACAACCTTGGTCATTTCAAAATCAACAGACTAGAAATCTTACTGGTAATATGGCTGGCTGCCGATTATCTTGGATTTGAGGGTTTTGAACAAGATATTGCAAGATTTAATTATAAATACACAAGACATACTGTACTGTAAACATGCATATACTTGAAGAATGTAAAATGAACAGTGATGAGTGATGTAATATATAATTCTGTACTTATTTGGAAAACCTTTTTGGCAAATCTTGAGAATAATGGCTTTGGGAATGTTGAAAATTAAAAACTGTCAGATAGCTGCATTGACAGTATGGTTACATGTCATCGGATGAAACTCCATATTTTGTTAATTGCTGATGTTCTAGTATTGGAATGAACAACGTTATAAGAACCAATGATGCTGAACTAATTTGGGTTTATTATAAAATATTGTTTATCATTTAGTTCTGGCCATTTCCTACTTTTTATTCTACTCTGACGGTCTAACACCAGATGATTTTATATGTTGGGATAGATCACTGGTATGGATTATCTCATAATTTACACTAGTTTGTTAACCTACTCTGTCTAATCATGCTAACACCATCATTGGCAATGGAATTGAGCAGTGATGTAGCCAGGATTTCTAATTAAGGCCTTCAAGGGGGACCAAAATCCCCAGGGGCCTGCACTAGTTTGAATAAAGTTTGTTATTATGTAAAAATATATTTGGACTCCCAAGCTATCCATGTATAATATAGTACAATGTAAACTTTTTAAATTCTAGTTAATAAAGTGCCATTTTGGGAGGCTATTTTAATGTGTTTTGGTGATTTGAAATAACCATGCAGTTAACACATGTTCAACTCTACTTAATTACAAAGAAGTCCGGAACATTTAAAATATTTTGACCCCCCACCCCCCTCTGGTTACACCACTGGAATTGATTTGAGCCTTAGGAAATTCCTGCCGTTCAGAGGGGGAGGGGGGGGGAATTGTTTCTGATAATAGTGAATGTATTAGGACATCCAAAGGAGTAGGAGGGATTAACTTTCAATTTCCTCAGTGGGAGTGGTATGAGTGTTTTCTGGAATGACCCAATATAACAGTGTTTTTTTTTTCAAATCTAATCAAACTGTCAAATTGTCAATCCTTGTACATGGGGAGGGGAAATTTTGGAGAAAGAAAAATTGTGACCGATCAGGTTGGGGGTCCACCTGTAGGCCTGGCCATAGGTGTACAGGACGGGGCCCGAATGTTGGGCAGACTAGGCCAGTCGGCCGAGTCGGGCAATATTTACTTCACAGTTGGGCAATATTGGCTTATTATAAAAATAAATAGGAGAAATTATTCCCTCAATATTGGGGGAAATATGCTATATAATGGTTGAAAATTTAGTTCATTTTGATTAATAGTCATTTAATATATGTGCTATCAACAGTTTCTTTATGTTATTAAGTAACAGATTACAATGTTTGTACATTAGAGATTTAGAGGCACTAATAACTCAATAATAAATAGGCACTAATACAAACTCTGAGCCAGTGCACCCAGCATCCTCAAATTGGGAATAATTTGTAAATTTAAAAATTTGTGTATAACTAATAATTTATCCTATTCCAATACAAAATGCAATAATATAGAAGACACAATTTATCAAATAAAGGTAATTAATAAAAAAGGTATTAAAAACTTTATTATGTAATATTTACATTGAATATCGTGGTTGAAGTTGCAGATTTATACTTGAAATTTCAATTTTCGAACGAGAAATGTTTCGCTTTATGTTAATATTTTTACTTTGTTCGCCATTCTTGCTTATTTACAAATACAAATAGTCCATTTTTTCTTTTGCTCTTTTCAAAATAGCCCAGAATTTGATTTAAGAAAGTATTTTCATGCAAAAACCAGCATTTAACTTTTGTATACACTCCTTGTGATAGCAGCCATGTTGCCAAAATTCGCATTGACCAATCAAATCACGTTCTGAGTTGGATTATCCCAGGGCTTCTGATAGCGATAAGCGCAGAAGCCCTGGGTACGAGGTTGTGGAACATACGAAACCAGAAGTGCAAGTAAACTTGCAGTAGTTTCTAAAGCGCATACTCTTGAATTGGGACACTTTAGCACCCGTAACAATTTTCAAAGTGAAGTATTACGAAGAAACGAAGTATTTGCGTTGACATATGTTGATAGAATAATTTTTCCTAGCTAAAACTGCTCAACTTCTGCGAAATAGGATTTCTCTGAGAAGCCAATCAGATCTCTCGCTTTAGTCGCCTAACCCACAGCCTACTTTTCAACGAGTGACCGAGTGAAAATGGCTCTGCCTCCGGGGACAAGAATGGTCCACCTCACGCTTTTTGTAATGGTTCGCTACCTTAGCTTGCAGTTTGAAACTAGCATAACTTGCAACTGGAGTCAGAATTAACAAAGAATAGACTTTAATTAACCATGCTTTGTAAGTTAATTTGAAATTATATAGCACTTCATAAATACCAAAAATGAAGATAGCCGGTCAGAATTAGCATAAGTACAAAAAATTTTGAGACTCCATTTTAAAACTGTGGCACTAGCGTTGTTTCTAAAAACAGAAATGTAATATAGGCATGCCCGTCAGGAATATACTGTATTCTATACAAATCCCATATATTTTCTGATAAAGTTTCGAAGTTCTCATTGTTCACAGGGCTCATTGTTCTTCCAAAGCAATACAATCACAATATTTTTGATGAATTTATTCTCTACAAGTTGTAGCTGAGTTGACTCGAGTCATTTCCGGAAAAATCAGCAAGTCGAGTCCGAGTCGAGTCATTTGGGGCTGTTGACTCGAGTCGAGTCATTTTTCGTTTTGGACTCGAGTCGAGTCGCTGAAAATAGCAACTCGAGTCGACTCGAGTCCGAGTCAATGACTCGATTCGTTACAACACTGCTAACATCCGATATTAAATGTAGTTAGTATAATTACATAGGTGATTATTGAAAATTCTCCACGCTGATTGGTTGCCGTTGAGGTGATTATTACGCGATAATCACCTAAGCGATTTTCAAAATAGCGGCCGAAGCCTTTTTGTCAATTAAATGACGAAGAAATGTGTATTTTTTTATTTTTTCCATATAATCACCTATGAAATTATACTAAAACAATTATTCACCTCAGGCTCGGTGTTTATCGTGAATAAAAACCTCGACTTCGTCTCGGTTTTTATTCACCGATAATCACCTCGCCTTCGGCGAATAATTGCTAATTAACTAATGTGGGAAAATTAAGGAATTTTACATGCCATTTTAAGGAATTTGAACTATGTTAATGATATTCGAGACGCCATATTGTTTTAACAATGCGAAAAGGTAAGGAAATACAGTAAAAAAATAATATTTTACGGAAATTTTCAGTCTTATTTTTAATTTTTACAACTTAGATGATACTTTAAGAAAACAATACAGTTTTTTTTCCTCTTTGTGTATCATTTAAACATTTTAAATTATCAGTAATGAGCTTGTCATTTTTCAACAACTTTTTAGTCTAGAATTTTCTGATTTTAGCCCCTTGGGCATGAATAGTGAAAACTTTAAGTTACCTGTCCGATTAGTATTATTACATTAAAGGAGTTTTTTATCTTTTCGTTGGTAAAAGAGTTAATTAAATGTGAATATCATTAAAGCGACTTTAGGACTTTCTGAAATATCGTTTGAAATGCAACATTTGTAGGTTTATTTATTGTTCAATATATTATTAAACGTTTCTAGTCTCCACGATACTTCCTGATCGATCCTGAAAAGTGGTAAAATCTGAAAACACTCATGCACATTTCTGCAGTTTCTTGGTCTATCAAATCAGCGTTGTGCATCTATTTCTTTGTGTTTTCTAACTTTTCTTTCAAAGCGTAAATGAATTCATCCGCTGGTCTATTTTGCGGTATTTGTCAAAAAGAGTTACAAGATGGGGAAGATGTGACATGTATTCGCAAAAAGGGTCCAGATGGAATTAATGCTGCCAGTGTTCAAGGAGGTGACAACTTTGTAGTCACGACAGGATGCAAAGTGCATTCTAACTGCCGTAAGCAGTACACAAATTCCATAGAGATTGGTCTTTACTTAAAAAAGAAACAGGGCGGTGAATGTAGTGCCACTAAGAGAAGTGCCAGGGTCTCTGAAGGTCCATTTGAAAGCAAAACAAGATTGTCTTTTTTGTGTCATTAATGTTCAAAGAGGGAATGCAGTATATAGTTCTGTAAAAACTGATAATTTTGCGCAGACAATATTACAATGCTGCGATAATCGTTCTGATGATTGGTCATTGAAAGTCAGGGTAAGAATAGAGTACTATAGAAGTGACTTACATGCAGCTGACTGTGTCTATCACCATGTCTGCAGTTCACATTTTCGATGTGGCCGGGACATTCCCAAGGAATTTCAAGATGACACAAACCTAAACCCAAAGCGAAGAAAGTCGGGAAGACCAAAAGATGAAGATCAAAAACAAGCGTTTGAAAAGATGTGTTCGTATCTTGAGGCAAATGATGAAGAGCAGCTGAATATTTCACGCAGACCTTAGTCGCAAAATGAAAGAGTATTTGTCAAAGCCTGATTCTATCCCATATGGTAATCAATATTTAAAAAGTAAGCTTAAAGAAAGATATGAAAATTGTATTGTTATCGCGGAGAGTAAAGGTTTAGACGATATAGTAACAATGAGAGAGAAAACATCACACATCCTTAGGTCATATTTCAAAAGTGCGCAGAATGAAGGGGACGAAGAATCATAGAAAAAGCATTGCTTGAAACAGCTGCAAGACTTAAAAGTGACATCAAATCCTCAGTGTCAGCTGTAAATGATCAATACCCTACTACAGAGATGCTGAAACTTCAGTCGGCTCTAGACTACATCCCGGAATCACTTCGCGTTATGTTACATTCGTTATTTGTTGGTAAGGAATCCAAACGAAAAGTAGCTAGTATTGGACACGCAATCATACAGGCTGTCCGACCACGAGTTGTGCTTGCTCCTTTGCAAGTTGGTCTTGCAGTATAACTACATCACTTGTATCGCTCCAGGTTTCTTATAGATACCTTTTACCACATGGGGTATTCATCTTCCTACAGCGAAATTCAAAGATTTGAAAAGAACGCTGCAGAATATACAGTACTACACCTAATATGCTTGGAAACAACCTTGATGTATCGAATACGGCTTTGATCTTTGCTGCGGATAACGTTGACCACAACATACTTACAATCGACGGGAAAGGAACATTTCATGGAATGGGCATGATTGCGGCATTGGCTCCTGGTCAAAGAAATGTCCATAGCATTCCCAGAAACAAAACACCGAAGCTCAGCATGGCTGAAAATGTAAAAGTTCCTATAATAGAGCATCGCTTTGCAAAGCATTCTTGTGAAAGTATCAAATTCGCTGCACTTCCAATTCTTGAATATTGCAATAAGACAGTTGATCTGCTATGGGAACTGTCGTTTAATTTCAAAGAAGCTGTGCCTGGTTGGCAAGGGCTGATGAACATTATTTACCAGGAAAAGACATACCCAGGGCAATCTTCGATCAGATATCTTTCAATGATAGACATGTACTCTGGGGATAAAACATGCATTTTATCAACGCTGGAATTCATTTGCGACCTTGCATCAAAGCACAACCTTGCCCCTGTTGTCACATTCGACCAGCCATTATATTGGAAAGCAGCGGAGATAATTGAAGATTCACCATCTGGAAGTCACCTAAAATCCATTGTCTTGCTGCTAGGTTGTTTTCATACTTTCATGAATTTATTAGGGACCGGTCAGTATTTATGGCGGGGGGGTGGCACCGAAGAGAAAAAGGTTGGGTAAACAAAATTTTGAGTAGATCAAAGGTTGGGTAAATGAAAAACAAAACAACCCAAGGGTTGGGCAATAAAAATGTATTGTCATTTCCAAAACATGACTCACTGAAATATTTGGGAGACATTATTCATGAAAAGCAATGTCAACAGTTATTTATGTCAATACAATATGCGAATCAATCAGAGTCACTATCTTGATCATTTTGACAAAACAAAATAATGGTGTCTCCAAAGAAAGAACATGTGCAGACAACATGAAACTTTAGACTGCAGAAAATTTCACAAGCTGTTATCAAACCCATGTCACAGAAATGGTAAAGGACAAGTGTGACAACTGAATGGTACCCTTTGTAAAGTTTGCCAGGGGGTGGGTATTTATTAGTATAGTAAAGTTGGCCAGGGGTGGGTATTTATTTTTTAATTGATATTTTAGGTTGGGTAATCAAATTTTTTACTTTTTAATGGTTGGGTCAGCAAAATTTTTGCCACAAAAAACATTTCTCTTCGGTGCCACCCCCCGCCATAAATAATGACCGGTCCCTTAAGGGCAATAGGTACGCTAATGAAAGGCACAGGACTTGAAGACATACTAGGCAGCGTTTACGGTGAAAACACCCTGGCTCATATGATGACAGGTAAATCTGTTCAGAGAGCGTTTCGTGCTCATCTTCTTGTAGATAAATGTATTAACCGCATGGTGGTCGCAAAGATAATAAAGGAAGATACTGAATTTTCAGCTATGATTGAAGAGTCTGAGAAGATGTATCTTTCTCTTTTGCACGGTAAAGAAACACTAGAAACTGTCCAGGCATCATATTTAGTTAGAGAAATAAACAAGCGGTTGGAAAAAAAGAAGCTGGAGTTGCGTACAAGGTCCAAGACTAGTCAGTTGTGGATCAATTACCAAAGCATGTTAAAAGTTGCGAGATGCTTAATCAATGCTGATCGAACAGGTTCTTGGTCAATGCACCTTTGCGCTGTATTGAGCTGTCTTCCAGTATTTGCGGCAGCTGGACATTATAACTACTTAAAATCTGCATATTTTTATGTCCAGCAGATGAGCCAGTTACACACAAACCACCCAGAAGTATTTCAAAAATTTGATAACGGTTTTCACGTAATTCGTCGCAGCAGCCAATTCTGGGCTGGTCTCAGTCCCGATCTTGTCATCGAGCAGACATTGATGCGGTCATTAAAGACCACAGGTGGTTTGACACACGGAAGCGGAATGTCCGAGGAGCAGCGAGCACTGTGGACAATGGCTAGCCCCATAACATCGGCATACAACTGTGCAATGCAGGAGTTCACAAAGCAAACATATACTACCTCCCATCAACACAAAGATTTAACAGAGTCAAGAATGAAAAGGGACGCTGCAGATATGGAAAATATCGGTTTCAAACTTGCTGAATGCTCACTTTTTTCGTCCGATCCTTCGTTAAGAAACGTTGCCAATGGTATTGTTGCAGACGAACGTGTGAACGTGCACCATTATGAATCTGTTCGTCAGTCGATTATTAAGAAAATGGTTGGAGTGCCAGCATTTACAATCTCGTTCAGCAGAAAGGATAAAGCAATAACACTGGGCGAAAAATCGCGTGTTAAAGTGGCTCCTGACCGATCAATTGATCCTGCACTTCTTTTTCAACGCTTTATTGTAATTTCCAAAACAGAAGAGCTATCACTGGAGGACGTTATGGGTTACGAACTCAGTCCTTTCCCTTCATCACTTTTTGAAGCCAAAAATGTGTTCCGAAAAGCTGACAAACCACAACTTGCTCACGCAATATGTGATTATGCACAAGATTCCATCTCAGATTCTGGATCAAAAACCGAATACTACGTCCTTGATGGAGGTTCATTGATCCACCGAGTACCATGGAAACGCGGAAATAGCTATACGGTGAAATAGCACAGTCGTATGCGGACTTCACTATTCGGCACTATGGCTTGAATGCGACAGTTGTGTTTGATGGTTATGGAGAAAGACCTACAATTAAAGACAACACACATCAAAACAGAACAAAAGGGCTGTACCGTTGTTAATACAGCAGGAGATGTGGACGTTGATATTGTGACATCAGCAGTAGATGCATTTTTATTATACAGCACTACATTAATTGGGGAAGATACTGATCTTCTGGTCTTACTTCTTTATTATGCACAGGAAAACGTACGACAAAGGTCTTTACTTCAAATCGGACAAGCCAAAAAAAGATGGCTGTTATTCATCCACTCGTTAACTGGCTGTGACACAACGTCTCGGATCTTTAGTGTTGGGAAAAAGAGTGTTTTCAGAAGCTTATGAAAGGAGATCCTGTTGTCAAATCTTGTGCAAATGCATTTACTGTCCCACATCAAACAACAGAAGTTATAGATGAACTTGGGTGCCAAGTTATGGCTGTTATCTTTGGTGGACAGTGCACCGATTCTCTGGCTGCATTGAGGTGTAAGATCCTGAGTAAAAAAGTTCTCCATTATTTATCATTCGTCACCCCCGAGCGTCTGCCTCCAACTGAATCTGCCACCAAACTTCACTGCCGAAGAACGTACTATCAAATCATGGTTTGGATGGGTATGGAAGATGGTATGGATCCCACGTGTTGGGGATGGAGTTTGAAGGACAATAAATTCGTCCCATTAATGTCGAGTATGAGTGCTGCTCCAGACAGTCTTTTGAAAATCATTCATTGTAACTATACTTCTGGCTGTAAGACATTGCGCTGTTCATGCAGGAAGTATGGACTCTCTTGTAACGCCGCCTGTAGACAATGCCAAGTTAACGAGTGTGAGAATCCAGAAAACAGGTTTTACGAAGAGGAGTCTGAGGATGACGACGAATAGTTAGAGGAAGTGAGTATTTTCACCAAATAAGATATCAAAAATGCTTCGAAATATTAAATTACTTTATTGCAATTGGATTTAATAGCAGAAAAACTGTGGATTATTCATATAAATATTTTTCGCGCTTTTTCAAGTTTATCTTATACAATTTTAGAAATTAACCATTTCCTCACGTTAGAATCTACTAGATTTTTAATATGTTTTTAAGCATGAAAATGTGTGCTATAAACCGTTGAGAAACATTTTGTATCAATTTTTTTGTAGTCTGTCGTTATTCCGACCCGTCTACCAAGAATGGCGGATATTCGTCATGGTGAGAAAGGCAATTGACATTATTAGCACTGGTACAGGCTGAGGTTGCCTTGTTTCATACATAGAGACCCTTCTGAAAATGTGTAACTACTTTCCCCTGATTGATATTTACTGTCATATATTATTTACAGGGTATTCTAGATCGTTACCTGCGAATTCCAACCGTTATATTTTGCATCTTCTTCAAGATTTTCAAATTTTCGTCCAAGCAGTTTCATATTATACTTAACCACGTCCAAGGAATCGTCATCCTCCAAATAGAGTAAATACTCCTCAATGATCTCTGTGACGATGGTGATTTCTTCGTTTTCAAATGATTCAATATAATCTTTAAAAAAATAATTACAATTTCCTTCAGGTCAAATGTCTGATAGTCAATATAATTTATGATTAACTTCCTGAAAAGTACGCCAAGAACTTCCACATTTACAGAACCTACCCTAGCTCACGTACTAACTCACAAAAAAAGGGCAGTCACTCACAACGTTGAAATAATATAATTATGCTATATTTTTCAAGTAGATTGGGGAAAATGAATCGTGTCACGACTAATTTTCCTGACCATAAACGATTGTTTGAATGAACTTTAACTAGACTAATTCATTCTTGAAATGCCTTTTTGGATGTTTATTCAAGGCGTGATAACAGCTTTACTTAAACAAGGTCGTCCCAGTTAACTACAGTAGGCCAACACAACTCCATGCTCCTAAAATCTTGTAATCTCTCAAGTTCAATGTTCTTGTTATCTACACTAAAATTATATATTCAAGATTTGTAGAAGGGTTGTGTAGAGGGAAATATCGAGTGCTTCGGTGGCCAAGTGGTTAGCGCACTTGCCTTTCACCTCTAAGGTCGCAGGTTCGAATCTCAGTGAGAACTTCTCAATGTGACTCGAACCCAGTCCTCATGTGAAAAGAGTAAAAAGTCAACGCTCTGCCGAAAGTCGTGGGTTTTCTCCGGGCACTCCGTGTTTCCTCCCACAGGGAAAGTTGACAGGGTGGGTTAGGCACATAGGTCTGGAGGCAGATCATTAATGAGGTATGGACTAATAGCGGCAGCTGCTCAAGCGCCATTTGTAAGCTCAAAGTCTACCTCGGTCTGCTTCACGTCAGTCCGGTTCTATCTATCTATTCATAATGTAACCAGTCACTGAAAAGCCCTGATATAGGGAGTGTGCTGTGAAATATCTGTATCTGTATTGCTTTTATGCAGACGATACTGAAATTTCCTCGTCCTTCCATGATATCACTAAACTTACCGGTAATCTAAATAGGGATTTTAAAAAATATAAGTACATATTGGTTACAAAGAAATAAATTACAAATTCATCCTACAAAAACTAAAGTCATGCTTTTTGGTCTGCCCATAATCTGAGCAAGTTAGATTGTGATCACCTTGTCAAGATCAACAATCAACGAATTCGTTGTGCTAAATCGATTACATGTCCTAGAATCGAGCTAGAATAGTCATATTTAAAATGATATGTAAAACAGGTGGGGCAGGTATAGGAATATTAAAATAAATTTGTTCCTGATAATACTTTGCAAACACTATGCAGAACTCTAATTCAGCCTTGACCAATGTTTGACTATTGCTCTTCCTTACGGGGAAACTGTGGCAAAGTATTACGGAGCCAATTATGAAATCAAATCTGCTGAGGACCTTAATTGTCCCTCTTGAAAAGCAAGCTAATGCAAGACGTGACCAGCACAAATCTAACTTTTTTATAAAATCCTTAATAATCACACCGCCCTCAATCTGAAACAAATATTTATTTCAAGAGGTGATATGCAAACAATCGCAAGGCATAAACACGGGGGTCTTGACCCTAAGCCACGCGTCTCTGAGTGTCAGGTTTGGATTCAAGAAAAAAATAGGCAGTTTATCTGAAAGTAGCGTTCGAATGTTATGGTAGGGCGTGTTTGCTAAAACCTTTGCCATGTAAACATATCTAATTATGCATACAGTAAGCAGACATGGCCGTTTGGTGACGTTTGACTCGTTAACAAGAACATGCTGTTCAAATCGATCTAGAAGGAAATACTGTGTCGGAAAGGCTAAATTTTCGTAGTAGCATGTAATGGATACATTTCGTGACATTTCCTTTAACCTATAAGTCTCAATACGTATATTTAAAGCCAACCACCGTGTCTAGCACGAAACAAAACGCTTCACTGAAATACTGCTAAATTGTCACGTGGGCAGGACCAGGGAGGGGTCCCTCCTGATTTAAGTCCAGGCCCTTCAGCACAACGTTACTTTGCTCTGTATTTATCAACATAATTATTTGAAAGTGCAATATTTTCATAACCAAAGCGATTAACGGTCAATAGAGATAAGAGGGCTTCTTCTTTTCGACTTTTTTTCATTTATATGTGAAGATTTTGTCTTATATAAATCGGTAAACTAAATGAAATTTAACTAAACTAAACTAAACTAAGCTAAACTAAACTAGGCTAAGCTAAGCCAAGCCAAGCCAATCCAAGCCAATCCAAGCCAATCCAAGCCAAGCCAAGCCAAGCCAAGCTAAACTAAGCTAAACTAAACTAAACTAAACTAAACTAAACTAAACTAAACTAAACTAAACTAAACTAAACTAAGCAAATTAAACTGAACTAAATTAAACTATACAGACCAAAACTATACTAAAATTGAGCTACATCCAGAACTAAAACTAACAAAATAAATCAAACTAAATTAAATTGGCGTCCGGAAGGAAAGAAGGGGGCCAGAAAGAAATGCGCAACTTTCTAGTATTATGCGCGACGTACCAATAAAAAAAATGTCACGACTAAACTTGGGGTCGGTGCAAAATTTTCGACAGGCTTAACATTTTTGGCCACATTATATATTTATTTCTGTCCTCCTTCTTTCTGCCCAACTTAGGTTTAAAATTTGCCCAAACGTAAAACTTTACCAACTCCCGTTTTGTACGCCTATGCTAAATTATGTCAAATAATTTGACTATTTTTAAAGTAGTCGGAATGCAGTAGGCGGAATGTTTTGCATACAGTATTAACATTCATCGTACTTACAGGAATCCAAGCCATAGTTTTCTTCCGCTATTTCATCGGTCAACTGTTTTGAACATTCCGTTATAAATAAGAGAGGATTGGTACTCACAACCATAACGATGTAACTACAGTGTAATAAGAATATTTATTATATGGCAAGCATTACTTCCGGTGAAATGGCGGACTGTGATTGGCTGATAAGCACTTTCAGCGGCCATTATTTTTCCGTAATGGAACGGCGGTGCATTACGTAAAAACAAACGCATGCATTTTAGAACAAAACGACAAAACTATATATTAAAATTTAATTTGTTATTAATCAGATATCTGCGAATGGTTTTTAATAATAATAATACTAATAATACTAATAATACTAATAATAATACTAATAATAATAATAATAATAATAATAATAATGATTTATTGGTAATATATCCACAGAGTGGCTCTTCGCTTACCAAATTATATAAATTATAAAGTATTCATAAAGTCTATAAACTATTTTACGAACATTACTGCAATATAACTTTGAATATATAACGTGTTCGATAGGACAAAATATTACTTACAAAATTACGAAATTAACTAAGTTAGAACAAAACTGTACGAAACTATATAGTACATTTAAATATTTCTTTCTAAGATTATCCAAGTCTTGACCATGCTTTCATGACTAAGAAATTTTTTGTCTTATTGTAGAATACTCTGTAAAAGTGGAATATTCTTAGTGGAAAAGAAGGAATACATTGGTATTTTTTGTTTTCTTCGACCAATTGTGTACCACGCTACTAGCGTTGACGCTACTAATATGCATTATACCATATGACTGCAATTTCATGCAACATAGCGGTGATGGCTCTACTCTTTTGTTTTACGCTAAATATCAGCCAATACTATCAGTAGTCTGTACTCTTTACTATCAACCAATATACGGCTAAATATCAACGAATCATAGTGATCAGCGGGGTCGCAAGAACCATTAGTATATTACATAAACCATGCATGTACATTTAGGCGATTTTATCAGGGCCTATTTTAAGGATGCGTATAACTGGAGCGGACATATTTAGCGGGGGACCTGGAGAAGTTCCAGTTGGCAAGTCTGTATCACTGCAGCTATCAGCATATATATGCATGGTTTAACTAATAAGTATACGTCATAGGGCAGCAGATCAGGCCGTAACTGAGACAGGTGCGAGCTTCTAGGGGGTCTAGGGGCAGGCCTCCCCTCAGAAAATTTTGGATTTCTTGAAGCTCAGATAAGCTATTTCCAGCCTTTTGATGAGTTTTCCAACAAGAAATTAACCTTATAAACAGTGACACAATTAATTACTTCAATTTCACAGTCTCGGCAAATGTAATCCAGTCCCAATAAGGCAGCATGATGTGATGATGCAGTAATGAAAATGTACGTGGTATATTATTATCATTCACCACACTTCAAATTCTACAGTACTGTATTACATGCATGTATTGGGGTACTTGAAATCGACGCATTCGTTTTCTCAGTGTCACTGTTCAAAGAGCAAGATAAGGTGGTCTCATTGGAGTATCTTTGCGTGGAAAAACTATACTAGAATTTCGTCCTAAAATGCCATTTCATGCCTTGTTCCACGAGCACATTATTTCAGTCATGGTTTAGGTTTCTGGCGATGTTTAAATTTCAGTCCCCAAATTCTGGCCTACCAAGTCAACTGACTCGGTTGATTTATAGCTAGTTACGGGCCTGCAGATGATGGTCAAATTCAGAAATGTTAACAACTTAACATCATTATCTCACTTTGATATATAAGCTGGATGACCACCTACTGCAGGTAATTCTTAGGGACCTCACTGGCGGGGGGGGAAGGCAAAATTGCCGACTGGAGGGGCCAGTATATTGATAATCGCTTTATTAATATTAGCATGACCATATTTTACAGGTATTGCTAAAGCTTATAGTTAAAACTATAACGTAACAATGTAACATATAAAAAGATACAGGATGGAAAGTTTAACTAATGACTACCAGCATTCCCGGCTTCAAGTTGTTTAAGTCTTTCCTCAAAACACGAAAAAATATATTTCGATAATTTCAGGATGGTGTCACCAGCAGTTGACTTCATTATGTCAACTGATAAAGTTGGTTCGTTTACGTTTGTCTCATTAGTAGGGAGATCGTTTTTTACACTGTTTATAAAGTTTACTCGAATGTCAACGTAAGCCTCGCAAGTATTTATTTCAGGGTTTTTTTGTGTTTCTAATTTATTTCAGTAAGAGGGCTGGGGGGGGAAGCCTCCCCCCCCCCCCACAGTCTACATGTATATGATAAAAGAGGCCATGGATCTTATGGCAACGAACACTTTTAAGTGTTAGGGATTTAAAAATCCCTAGTCAAACGGAATTCATGAGAGTTGAAAAGAGTTGGCAGTCACGATTATAGACAAAATAAAGGTTTCACACGAGTGCTCCAACTATGTTTTAACTTTTAAACATAGTACATGCAGAACTAACCAAGTCGCCTGACTGCCAACACGCGTGCACTCCATTCTCGTTTGGTGATTGGTCCTACGTACAAAGTGTCCATCGTAAATCATGAAGCGACAATTTGTGAAAATCCTGAAAGGCGTGGGCGAGGGTCCTATAACGTAAAGTCTTTCATTAATAGACAATGCTTCGGCGGAAGAGACGCTTTGCCATTATAATCGTGCCAATATATCATATGGCGACACTAACTATGCTTTGAGCCAATATTTAAATGCATATTTCCCCCAAATTTAACTGTAAATATTAATGTCTCAGTGTCAATAAATATTATCATAACATGACATGTGGTGATTAGTATCACACAAAGAAATATTTCAATCATTGCATGTCAAGATTGAGGGTAGCGAGTCGTAACGAAATTCCCCATAACGAGTAACGACATCAACAGCTTACAGTTACACTTAACTCGCATTTCATCTACCAGAAATATCCTGGAACTTGTACTGTTGTTTATTCGAAAAATTATAATACATGAAGCGGTAATTATTTAAAAGATTTTGTGACAACGAATATAATACGATGTTTAGATGTTGAAATTAGAGCCAATTTTGGCAACTCAGCGGATGACATGCCAGACTGTTACCTTTAATTTATCTTTAATATGGCTGAGTTAGGCGCAGCGCAAACTGACAGGCAAATACATGTAACAATGAACAGGCGCAAGTGTAGAGAGTGAATTCAAGAAACGCTTTCAGTATTATAAACAGTAATGTATTTATGTATAGACATATACGTTTTATACACAACGCACAGCATGGCAGCATCACTGGCATGATACTAAACCTACTGTATCTGTATACTGCTAATGTTTCTTATTAAGCCTAGTTAGTGATTACGTACCCTACAGGCTACAGATTATTGCGAGTACTTAATTTTGTTGCAGTGCCAAGAAATAATTGTGCCATAAACATTAAAACATACACTTATAATTTTACATGCATGTTTACAACTGCGCATAGCACGAAAGCTATATGCCAGTGCATGATATCCCCACAGACAAGAGATTACTTCGGTAATTATGCCATACGTACCTTAACTGAAGTCAACAAAGACGAGAGTTTCCTTTTGAAATGCGAATAACTGAATGTTTGAGTGTCCACGTTTTGCTCTCATAAATTAGTGAAATATTATTCCGAATTTTAATTTCATATTATGACACATGAGAAATATTGACCGGATGTCTCAAATAGTTGTCATGCTTCTGGAAGTAAAACTTTGATTCTTGTAGAAAAGCCTGGCCAATATTCAACACTGTCTAGAGTGGCCAACGGTTAGAGTGACTGTAGTCACACTATCTGCGATTTACCATCTAAAAAAATATTTTAAAAACTATAATGATCACTCATCACTGAATAATCCAAGGATCGCCAGCGTTGTCAGGAATGTCATAAAACATCATTACTTCGTCATTCGATAATTAACAATTTCAAACGGCAAAAGCATAAATTAAAAACAATTCTGTGACAGATGAAAGGAAACTTTTAAATTTAGTAGATTAATTTTTTAAAAACCACTGAGTACCATCTAAAACCAAGGCGAACGTTTGCACCTTTGTCTCGTCAAAATGTGGAAAAATTATCCAGAAATATTATGTGCTAGCCGAAAGGCTCCGGCTGCCGGGAATTGTAGCTGGAAATTTCAAGTGAAATTGTTTTACATTAATTTAGACAGGGACGCCGGAACTGGGGGGGGCAGGGGGGGCGGCTGCCCCCCTTGCCTTTTGCTAGGGGGGGCAGGGGGGGCAGAAGTGCCCTTTTAGTTGTAAAATAATACGTGATAAATCACATTTCCAACGATGCTTTTTGTAGGAAAATGACGAGATTCAGGTAATTTATAGTTTATATTTATAAAAATTTTGGGAAATTTTTGGAATTTATTAATATCTGTCGTCACCATACTTACCCGTGTGGATGGTTAGGTGCAGACGTGGTCAGCTAATGATCTCCGGATTTGAGTTACTTGGATTCAGGTCCGAATCACGTGGACCTGTCCATTCAGGACCTGACCACCGAACGTCTGCACCTTATCACACCGAACTTAGTTCGATGGAAATTAAATTGAAAATCAATTGTAGTCATGAAAGAAAAAAAAAATTTGCTTCTTCCCTGAGCAGATAACCATTGCAGTTGGCTACGAATTAGCTAATGACCTGAGAGTCTGCTTGGCACTCTCTATATCCGATATCCTGAGGGCACATGTCGTACCCAGACTGCGCGCGGCTCCTATGATATTAACCTTGGTTACTATGTAACCTCATTTAATATCTGTCGTCACCATACTTACCCGTGTGGATGGTTAGGTGCAGACGTGGTCAGCTAATGATCTCCGGATTTGAGTTACTTGGATTCAGGTCCGAATCACGTGGACCTGTCCATTCAGGACCTGACCACCAAAGTGACATTTCTCCGAAATTTCACCACTCCAAGTAACCAAAATCCCAGGCCCCCAGACCGAATCCCAACTACATCCACCCGGGTACAAACTATGCCTCCATAAATGTTCCTCCATAAGTTGACATTAGCACCGCCGCCATGCACATTTAGTGGCTAGTTCTGCTGCTCTTCCAAAATAAACACAGGGCGAGGCCAGGTTATTACACCATACCGCGCTATCTTGACCTTAGCCACTGTCGCCAGTGACTCTAGCTGCACCCGTAGCAGTTAGCTGTATCCAGAACGAGTAGCTAAGCTAAGTCACCATGACATATTAAACAGCATAGCGCCATACCCAATTGCTAAGCTATGTCGCCATTCAGAAAATTAGCCGACAGAGGCTAAACCCTGGTGCTAAGCTATGTCGCCATTGAGAATGTAGCAGAGGGACCAACCCCTGTCGCTAAGCGATGTCGCCATTTAGACATTATTAGCAAAGGGATGAAATCCAGTTGATAAGCTAAGTCGCCTTTTGGAAATTAGCAAAGGGACCCCACCCAGTTGCTAAGCTATGCCGCCATTTTAAAATTCGCCCAAAAGAACCAGATGCAATTGCTAAGCTATGTCGCCATTGAGAAATTAGCAAAGGGACCAGACCCAGTTGCTAAGCTATGTCCCCATTTAGAAATTAGCCAAGGTACCACGCCCGGTTGCTAAGCTATGTCGCCATTTAGAACTTAGCAAAGGGACCAGACCCAATTGCTAAGCTATATCGCCTTTTTAAAATTAGCAAGGGGACCACACCCATTTGCTACGCTATGTCGCCATTTTAAAGTTAGCAAAGGGACCACACCCGGTTTCTAAGCTCTGTCGCCATTTAGAAATAGCAAAAGAGGCTAAACACAGTTGCTAAGCTATGTCGCCATTTAGAAATTAGCAAAGGGACCAGACCCAGTTGCTAAGCTATGTCGTCCTTTAGAAATGAGCAAAGGGACCACACCCAGTTGCTAAGCTGTGTCGCTCTTTAAAAATTAGCAAAGGGACCATACCCAGTTGCTAAGCAATGTCGCCATTCCGACATTAGCAAAAGGACCAGACCAGTTGCTAAGCAATATCGCCATTCCGAAATTAGCAAAGGGACCAAACCCAGTTGCTAAGCAATGTCGCCATTCAGCAATTAGCAAAGGGACCAAACCCAGTTGCTAAGCAATGTCATCATTCAGAAATTAGCAAAGGGACCAGACCCATCTGCTAAGCTATGTCGTCCTTTAAAAATTAGTAAAGGGACCAGACCCTGTCACTAAGCTGTGTCGCTCTTTAAAAATTAGCAAAGGGACCAAACCCAGTTGCTAAGCAATGTCGCCATTCAGAAATTAGCAAAGTGACCAAACCCAGTTGCTAAGCAAATTCGCCATTCCGAGATTAACAAAGGGACCAAACCCAGTTGCTAAGCAATGTCGCCATTCAGAGATTAGCAAAGGGACCGAACCCAGTTGCTAAGCAAAGTCATCATTCAGAAATTAGCAAAGACCCAGTTGGGACCAAGACCCAGTTGTTAAGCAATCTCGCCATTCAGAGATTAGCAAAGGGACCAAACCCAGTTGCTAAGCTATGTCCTCATTCAGAAATTAGCAAAGAGATCAGACCCAGTTGCTAAGCAATGTCGCCATTTAGAAATTAGCAAAGGGACCAGACCCAGTTGCTAAGCAATGTCGCCATTCCGAAATTAGCAAAGGGGCCAGAACCAGTTGCAGTAAGCTATATCGCCAGTTAGAAATTAGCAAAGGGACTAAACCCAGTTGCCAAGCAATGTCGCCCTTTAGAAATTAGCAAATGGACCAAAATCAGTTGCTAAACTATGTCGCCATTTAGAAATTAGCAAGGGGACCAAACCCAGTTGCTAAGCTATGTCGCCATTCAGAAATTAGCAAAGGGACCAAACCCAGTTGCTAAGTAATGTCGCCATTTAGACATTAGCAAAGGGACCCAAACCCAATTGCTGAGTGATGCCGCCATTTAGAAATTAGCAAAGGGACCAGATCGAATTGCTAAGCTATCTCGCCATTTAAAAATTAGCAAAGTGACTAAACCCAGTTTCTAAGCAGTGTCGCAATGTAGAAATTAGCAAAGGGACCAAACCCAGTTGCTAAGCTATGCCGCCATTCGGAAATTAGCAAAGGGAGCAAACCCGGGTGCTAAGCAGCGTCGCATTTTGGAAATTAGCAAAGGGACCAGACCAATTGCTAAGCTATGCCGCCATTTAGAAATTAGCAAAGTGACTAAACCCAGTTGCTGAGCAATGTCGCAATTTAGAAATTAGCAAAGGGACCAAGCCCAGTTGCTAAGCTATATCGCCAATTAGAAATTAGCAAAGGGACTAAACCCAGTTGCTAAACTATGTCCCCTTTAGAAATTAGCAAGGGGACCAAACCCGCTAAGCTATGTCGCCATTCAGAAATTAGCAAAAGGACCAAACCCAGTTGCTAAGCTATGTCGCCATTCAGAAATTAGCAAAGGGACCAGACCCAGTTTCTAAGCAATGTCGCAATTAGACATTAGCAAAGGGACCAAACCCAGTTGCTAAGCTATGCCGCCTTTCGGAAATTAGCAAAAGGAGCAAACCCGGTTGCTAAGCTATGCCACCATTAAGAAATTAGCAAAGTAATTAAACCCAGTTGCTAAGCAGCGCCGCACTTTGGAAATTAGCAAAGGGACCAGACCATTTGCTAAGCTATGCCGCCCTTTAGAAATTAGCAAAGTGACTAAACCCAGTTGCTAAGCAGCGTCGTCAATTAGAAATTAGCAAAGGGACCAAACCCAATTGCTAAGTTATGCCGCCATTTTGAAATTAGCAAAGTGACTAAACCCAGTTGCTAAGCTATGTCGCAATTTAGAAATTAGCAAAGGATCAAGCCCGGTTGCTAAGCTATATCGCCATTTAGAAATTAGCAAAGGACCAGACCCAGTTGCTAAACTATGTCGCCCTTTAGAAATTAGCAAGGGAACCAAACCCGCTAAGCTATGTCGCCATTCAGAAATTAGCAAAAGGACCAAACCCAGTTGCTAAGCTATGTCGCCATTTCGAAATTAGCAAAGGGACTAAACCCAGTTGCTAAGCTATGTCGCAATGTAGAAATTAACAAAGGGACCAGACCCAGTTGCTAAGCTATGTCGCCATTCAGAAATGAGCAAAGGGAGCAAACCCGGTTGCTAAGCGATGCCGCAGTTTAGAAATTAGCAAGTGACTAAACCCCGTTGCTAAGCTATCTCGCCGTTTAGAAATTAGCAAAGTGACTAAACCCAATTGCTAAGCAGTGTCGCCCTTTAGATTAAATTAGCAAAGGTAGCAAACCCGGTTGGTAAGCGATGCCGCCATTTAGAAATTAGCAAAGTGACTAAACCCAGTTGCTAAGCTATCTCGCCATTTAGAAATTAGCAAAGTGACTAAGCCCAGTTGCTAAGCAGTGTCGCCATTTAGAAATTAGCAAAGGGACCAAACCCAATTGCTAAGTGATGCTGCCATTTAGAATTTAGCAAAGGGACCAAACTCAATTGCTAAGCTTTATCGCCATTTAGAAATTAGCAAAGGGACCACCCAATTGCTAAGTGAAGCCGCCATTTAGAAATTAGCAAAGGGACCAAACCCAATTGCTAAGCTATCTCGCCATGTAGAAATTAGCAAAGTGACTAAACTCAGTTGCGAAGCTATCTCGCCATTTGGAAATTAGCAAGGTGACTAAGCCCAGTTGCTAAGCAGTGTCGCCATTTAGAAATTAGCAAAGGGACCAAACCCAATTGCTAAGTGATGTCGCCATTTAGAAATTAGCCAAGGGACCAAACCCAATTGCTAAGCTTTATCGCCATTTAGAAACTAGCAAAGGGACCAAACCCAATTGCTAAGCTATCTCGCCATTTAGGAATTAGCAAAGTGACTAAACCCAGTTGCTAAGCTATGTCGCAATTTAGAAATTAGCAACGGGACCAAACCCAGCTGCTAAGCAATATCGCCATTTAAAAACTAGCAAAGGGTCTAAACCGAGTTGCTAAGCTATGTCGCAATGTAGAAATTAACAAAGGGACCAGACCCAGTTGCTAAGCTATGCCGCCATTCAGAAATTAGCAAAGGGAGCCAAACCCGGTTTAACTCAATGC